TCCTGCGAATGATAGTCGACTCCCCAGGGTATGTCTCCAACGCAACTCTCCACTCCGATCTCGGTATATCTCCCGTATAAGACGTTATCCAACAAAAAAGCAACAGACATCACAACAAAATCATAACTCACAAAATCCACTTCTATAGACGCTATCGACAAGAGAAGACAACAGACGACTCAAACGAAACTGGCCAATTGACCTGATTTGAATTACTGAGGATTTGCCGCTGGATGCCTCCTCATCATGTCATTTAAACACCCATAAAATTAGCCTATAAAATGTATATTCTGATTGCTGATTGCTGGTTAAAAAAATGTTCCCTTAAACCATTTCATAGCACGTACGTCATTAAAATTAAATAGGAAAATATTCACTAAATGTCGGAAGGAAATCCATTTTCCACCATATTGATTCATAAAATATGCGCATTTACACGATTGCATAGATTCATACATCCATGAATCCCAAAACTCTTCTTAATCGCCTTCCAGCATGACAACTGGCGCGCTGGATGAACCCTCAGAAAACACCCTTCCTACTGTTGCGTGCACGCATTTCGGGTGTGGCCTAGAGAAGGAGGTCCTATTTTTGCGTGAAGGTCGGTCTCAAGGTTTTTACTGCGCCATTGCCTGGCAATGACCAAGTAATATTGTCACGCTCTTAAGCGAGGTGTCTACCAAGCTGTTACCTAGCTTCACACGATATAATATATTTAAATACATCTTTTTGAGAATATAACCACGAAACTCACTCATGGAGCTCAGCTCTTCCTGAGAAGCGGCCATTTGTGCAGCTACTCAAGAACTTCCAGCATTTTATGGAAACCGAGGGTCCATTACCGTGTTCACAAGAGCCCTCTACTGGTTCCTATCCAGAACCAGATAACTCCAATCCATACCATCCCCTCCTGTCTCTCTAAGATCCATTTTAATATTGTCCACCCACCTACGCCTTGGTCTTCATAGTAATTGCCTTCCTTCCGGCTTTCCCACCAATATCCTATATTCATTTCTCCTCTCCCTCATTCGTGCTACATGTCCTGCCCATCTCATCCCCCTTTCACTTGATCATTCTAATCATACTTTGTGAAACGTACAAGTTATGAAGCTCATTATGCAGTTTTCTCCAAACCTCCTGTCACTTCGTCTCTCTTCGGTCCAAATATTCTCCTCAAACCCCTGTTCCAAAACACCCTCAGTATGATGATCCCTTAAAGTCAGAGACCAGGTTTCACAAGCAATTCAGAACCAAGTAGAAATAATAGCTTTTATACTAGGGGCGTTCAGTAAATAACACCTCCTATTTTTTGTGTTAATATGTAACGTCTGAGATGGATGTTGGTGGTGTTGTAGTAAAGGTTGAACCTTCCCGCCAATCTACTGTTAGTTTGGTTGTCGTGCGACAGATGGCAACAGCAGAGCAGTCTACCAAAATGGTGTCTGACATAGAAGTGCGTATGAAACACAGATGTGTTATTGAATTACTCACTGCCGAACAAATTGTACCCACTGATATCCATCGACAATTGCTAAAGGTGTACGGAGACAATACAGTGGATGTCAGCACAGTGAGGCGGTGGGTAGTGCGTTTCAACAGTGGCGAAAGTGAAGTGCACGACAAGCCACGCCTTGGGCGTCCCTGCTCAGCTGCCACTCCTCACAATGAACGGCGCCTCATCCATACAGATCAGCAGAAAACGACCAGGGACTGTCAATTCTGAACGCTGAAAGCCCGCATTTCCCGAGTCAGGCCAAAGAAGCAGACAACCTTTCGCTTGCAACACGATAACGCTAGACCCCATACCAGTTTGGCGACCACCATGCACATTGCAAAGTTTGGCTGGACTGTCCTACCGCATCCGCCTTATAGCCCCGGTTTAGCACCTTCAGACTTCCATCTCTTTTGGCCTATGAAAGACGGACTATGTGGGCAACATTTTACAGACAACGATGCTGTCAATGCAGCTGTAAGAAAGTGGCTAGCCTCTGCTGGCGCAGACTTTTGCGGGCGCGGCATACAGGCTCTTGTTCATCGCTGGCAAAAGTGCATAACGAATGGTGGTGATTATGTGGAAAAATAACTCTAAGTAGCTGAAATCTTGCTCTGTTTAACTGCATTATTATGCTTTCTGTATCTGTTGTACTTTTCTTTAAAAAAAATAGGAGGCATTATATACGGAACGCTGTAGTATATTCTAATATTTATGCTTTTGGATAGCAGACGAGAAGACAAAAAGTTCTGGACTGAATGGTACCAAGCATTACTCGTGTTCAGTCTCCTTTTTATTTCCTCCTGAATCATGTTTTGATTCCTCATAGTCCTCCCCAAATATCTGAACTGTGCCACATTTTCAAAACATCTGTTTCCTGTCCTTGTGTCCTGATATTTCCCTTCATTTTGGTAACGAGACAGCAACATATACTTAATTTTCTCCGTGTTTACTTCCAGACCAACTTCTCTACTAGCGTCAGTAAAAGTCTGTAATATATATATACATATTATAAACAAATGGACTCACATCATCAACATAGACCAGCAGCTGATGCATCCCATTTAATTTCAGTCCCACCTGGTTTTCTTGCACATTCCTAATGACACATTTTATGCAAAGTTGAAAAGCAGTGGCGTTAAAGCATCCTCTTGTTTTAGACCATACTGGATATGAAAATTATCAGATAAATACTTATCTATACGGACTTTATCATACGTTTCGTTTAAACACATTTTAATCAGCCTAATTACATAGTTTCATAGGTATCCCAAACTCTATTAGAATATTGTACAATAATTCCCTCCTAACCGAATCATAGGCTTTCTTAAAGTATATGAATAGCTGATGCACTCCCTCATTTTACTCCCATTTTTCTATCCAGTATTTGACGAATGCAAAAATATCAAAGTAGTAGAACTGTTAGGTCTAAAACCACACTGACGATCCCAAATAATTTCAGCTATCTACGAAATTAATCTTCAGAAAATGATATTAGAAAATTTTTGTATGAATTTGATAGCAGTGATATTCCAAGACAATTATTACAATCAGTTTTATCACCATTAAGTGAACTGGTACAATAGTAGACTCTTTCCGGTGATTATTCAACTTTTCCTTCTTTAAAATAGAATTAACTAGCTTATGGAATTTAGGACGTAATATTTCACCTGATTCTTGAATAAGGTATGCCGGGATTTGACCACTACCTGGAGATTTATAACTTTTAAATTTTGCAATACCAATTTCAGCTTCAAATGAGGTACTAACGGCTCAACTCTATGTATTTCTAACTGCATAACATTACTGATCCTATGTACATTTACTAACTGAGAAAAGTAGTTCTTTCACTTATTCAAAATGTTGTGGGAATCTGCAAGCAGATCATCATTCTCATCATTCACTAAGTTACTGCTAGGTTGGTAACCCCTCTTAAAGTCATTTATTCCTCTATACAGGTCTCTAATGTTCTTGTTCTTACTGTTCATTGCAAGCTCATAAATTTTTTCTTTCAGATATTCCTTCTTTTTGTTCCTGAAATGCCTGCTCGTTTCACGTTTTATACTACTCACATTATCCCCATTTATTTCGCTTGGATCCTATAGCCACTGCAATTTGGTTCGTTTTCTTTGGTCTAGTAATTTTGAGCATCCTTCATCGCTTATAGCTTTCCATGTTCTATGAATGTTCACTTGATTGTCTAAGTTTTCCAAAGCTGCGAACCTATTTCTGATTTCAACATGATACTGCTCTTTACCCTCTACCTCGCTTAATTTCCTGATATTGAACCTCTCCACATGAAATCTGTGCGTTGTTCGCTTACTCACTGCCAGTCTTTCCCTAAATTTCACCACCACCAGGTAGTGGTCAGTATCACAATCTGCTGCCCTGAATGATCGGACATCAAGTATTCTTGAATGCCGTGTCCGATCTGACAAGATATGGTCAATTTGATTGTTTATCCTCCAATCAGGAGATGTTCAACTATAGTTATAAATGTTATGATGTGGGAACATTGTATGTACTTTTGACCTAAAAATTATTTGATGTGGCAAAGTTTACTACTCTACTCGTAATACCATTATATTAATTATTTCGTGCAAACTCTCATTCCCAATCGTTGGTTTGAAAATATCTTCCCTCTCTACTTTGGCATTAAAGTCTCCTAACAAAATTTTCATGTGGTACTTTGGGAATTTTCAAATACATGTTCTAGTTCTTCATAGAACCTGTCCTTCATATCATCAATATTCTCTTCTGTTGGGGCGGGAACATTCATAACGATGATATCACAACAGCTACCTTTTACTAAATAGTAATCCTATCACTAATGAACTTTACCATTTTAACTGCTGATATGATTTTCTTATGTACGAGAAAACCTGTAACTAGTTCATGATTTTCATTTCCTTTATCCATAGAAGAACGTATATTCGCCTGCTGATTTAGTGCCACCTCCGTCACATATGACCTCCTGTACCCCAACTAAATCTAATTTTATATTTTTAGACTTCTTCCGCCACTACCTTGAGTGAATAAATTAATTTTATTATGAGGAATTTGTTAGCCCTAGCCCAACCCTCAAGCTTTAGGGTCATCCTTTCATAGCTGTCCGTGACTGCTTATTCAGTATATTCATAGCTACCCTCCATACTTGGAGGCCGTTTCCTCTATCCGCAACTTGATGACGCGCCATGACGGTGTGACAAAAGTACCCACTTAACATGGATTTAAGCTATAATATATTGAAAAGTAATTATAATTACTACGGATCCATATTACAAATTACGTTTTAAAATTATTTATAATTTAATTTAATTTAATTTATATGGTTATATGCACAGGTCAATTCAGTTTTATATTTTGGTTGTATTAAAATTTCGTAAAATTGGTACGTGTAATCACGTTAGATACTATTCATTAAATACGATTTTTATTGCACGTTAATGTCATTTTGTTATCGAGACAGTGTGCTATTTTATATATATATATATTAAACGACCTGTGTTTAATTATTCTTAGGTAACGTCTTATTTTTCCCTAATACTATTAATTTGTTCTTAGATAACGTCTTATTATTCCCCGATACTGTTGATTTGTTCTTAGGTAATCTCTTATTGTTCCCTGATTCTGTTAATCTCTTCTTATGTGATGTCTTATTGTTCCCTGATACTGTTAATTTGTTCTTAGGCAGTGTCATCTTGTTCCCTGATACTGTTGATTTGTTCTTAGGTAATGTCTTATTGTTCCCTGATACTGTTAATTTGTTCTTAGGCAATGTCATCTTGTTCCCTGATTCTGTTAATTTCTTCTTAGGTAATGTCTTCTTGTTCCCTGATACTGTTGATTTGTTCTTAGGCAATGTCATCTTGTTCCCTGATACTATTGATTTGTTCTTAGGTAATATCTTATTATTTCTGATACTGCTATACTGTTTTCTTGTCTTCGTTACCTGAAACGTAGTTTGGCTGTTTATTTAGTTGTACATCTATTGTATTAATATTTAGATATCTCTTCATTTTATATTTTATTATTTCTTAAAAATATAGCTTAACTATATTTTGTTTTATACACTATATCTCGTTTATCCATAAATTATTAATTCGTCTGTAAGAAATGGTTATCAGTGAGTTAAATTTGATGTTTATCAGTCATTTTTTCTGCTTTTATTGTTCTTCTTTCTTCTTCTTCTTCTTCTTATTATTATTATTATTATATTACTTTTACTTACTCTTTAAGTATTCTATTGTACTGTTGTCTGCAGCTGTTTCTTGTTCCGTTGTTTATCACGCACTAACTCTGTATCGACATTACGTATTAGTGATTATGGGACGGGAGAGGGAGCGGTGAAGGAGGCAGAGGGAGTATGGGAATATGAGGTAAAGAGGGTGGGGTGTATGTCTTATATGTGTATTGCATGGGGTTTGCGCGATTAATCATTTCTAAGTTGGGTACAATGTTAATATTATGCCACAATTGGGTTAGATCCTTCTGCTAAGGTGTCATTTAATTGTGTTCCCTGTTTAGTGGCTTCATAAGCATTTAGCATTTGAACTTTTCTCTCTATGTGTAATATTTAATTGTGTTCTCCATTGTGTCGTATTCCTGAACTTTATCTATTTCATGTTGGGCAAATTTTGAATACTGGCATTGTTTTTTATATCCCTGATATGTTCTTTATATCTTGTTTTGAATTTTGGAGCGAATGTGCTTATCGGCATTCCACTAACCCTCCGAATAACAGAAAGCGTCATTTGTTACACTTTTGGGACCCTATCTTCTACCAAAATATTCCCCATTCCTGTCCAAAGTTACTTCATGCTAATGCGCTGCCCCATCCTCGTGTAATACATCCATGAGATTGCTCAATATTTTAAAGGAGCACAGAAACAGTCGACAGTTATCTCCCTTCAAGAGACATTGCGTCAACTGAAAATGCATTTAATAGAGACTTTAGTAATAAAAATTATCCTACAAACCCAACGAACTGTTTTTCTTGAAAGTTAATGCGAAGGAAAGAGTGTGACTACAGACGGGGTTTGGATTGGTGACTCATTTAACTGACCACTTGTATATACGACTCAGAACTACAAGTAATTACAGCGCCACTACTGACCTCCACAGTTCACAAATTACCATAGCACTCGCTAAGCCTTTTCCAGCCTGCCGGGTTTTCACTAGCAGTTCCGTGGCAACGGCTTGTAACGCTGCAGATTCTTTACATGCTTAGGTTATATTTTCACGGCCTCCAGTACGGGACTTTGTTTAAATCCCAAGTCTAAGTCACATTGCGACTGACGGTCAGTCAGTCTGTCTCTCTTGATGTCGAGCTCCGCCTGGGTCTCATGACCAGATTTTTTCTTTTCTCCTTGCTTTGTCCTTATATGAAAGTTACTGTCCTGTCCACTTGGGGGCGCCCTCTCTGACGAGAGGTCGGGTTTCTCATTTGTCTGTCATAGTCCGTATTAGTAAGTCCATTGTCAGTATTTACATATATTTACAAATTTAATCTTAATTCATATTTCTGTGTACAATATATGCAAGGCCTCTGTCAATCCAGGCTCAGTACAGCAGATTATGCATTATTTCCAGTAGTACTCGCTACCACGGCAGTCTAGTCACTTAAACGGTCGTATGCCTGACCGCCGCCAAGTTTAAGCCTCTTATACTTTCTGTGTCGGGTTTCGCCCTGTCCGATGTTGCGAACATTCTCATTATCATGATTTTGTATGACTTCTGCTTGTTTCCTGCATAATTTTGTTATGTAATCATATACGTAAGGAATTTTGAATGCCACGTGCAAATCGAGGACCGGTGTGCGCCTTGGAAAATTGCCGATGGTGCGGAAAACATTTTTTGCAGTCGCTGGAATACTATTGGTAGATGATCTGAATCCAAAATATCAGAGAACGATGACATCTGACATTCTGATATTTTTGTGGACCACAATATCCAGCACATCAGCATTTCCCACAGGGGAACAATGAGTGGGGCACTGTGGTGCTGAAATTTCGAATTCACTCATATCAAACAAATCCATGAGTTTCTCGCCTGAGGGGTCTGACACTCTGCTGTTCCAATATGGGTGCTTCGCATTCAAATCACCTGCCAAAATAGTCTTACGTCTAAAGCTTAAGAGCTCAGTGATGTCAGCATCACTCCAGGCTCTGCCTAGAGATTTATAAACAGCTGCAAGCAGTATTTCACTATTACCAATTGATATGCAGACCCCTGTCGCTTCTACTGAAACAAGGGGTGGTAGGTCTACATGGTTAGGGGAATGCCTTTTGTTACTGCAACGGCAGTTCCGCCTTTTCTGCCCGAGTGGCAGTCGGTCCTATGAAAGTAGTAATTTGGAAGAAAGAACCTCTCATGAGGTTTCAGATGTGTCTCTGAAATGAGGGCCACATCTAAGTGTAGGTTTTGCAGCTGTTTACTGAGCTCATAGCGCTGCATCCCAGTGCCGTTCGCATTAAATGCTAGGACTTTGAGTGGCCTATGAAATCTAGTGGCCATTTTGGTTCATGAGGTTTAATACAATTTTTGTAATGGCCATTATTTTGTCCTCTTCAGACACTGCATCATTGAACTCTGTCATGATCAGCTGCACTGTTGTCACAGCTCTCAACATATGTATATTGTCGAGAGGTTCGCTGTTTACATGAGGAGACTGTTTCATTCTGCAGTGCAAGGGCTGGTACATTTTGTTGTTTTGTTACAGAAACAGTCGCTGTTTACAGAGTCGCCGCTTAGCAAAGGTTTCATATGCCACAATATTGAAGCTATAAACGACATAGCAAACCTGCATCTGCCGTAACCTAACCTAGTCAGGACAGTCGCTGGTTTCATTTCAGATACAAAGAAGCCAGTCACTTGATGACAGCAACAAATTGAATATGTTAGGACCTGTAAGCATTTCCACTGAGACGCTAAAAACGATGGTGAATGAGTCTTCCACGAATGTGTCCAACAGAGCATAGAGAACGAAGTATAATTAGATGAATATTCAAGACGGTTGCGTTGAAGTGAATGGTACTCAAAGGTGTGATCATGTATTAGCAGATAGTGCAATAATTCCTGCAAAACTCCATTATCACGTAGGAATGAAACTTCTTTTGTTGAAAAGTAAATCACCTGAATATTTTATACAACCCACAATTAAAAGGGTAGCTGAAAGTAACGAAGACCACATCTGAGAATATTAATCCACTTGTAAAATAACCGTTTCAATGATGTTGCATGTCGCAAAAACTAAAAGAGAAATCATAATTTCAAAAGAATTAATTAAGGTGTATGCAGTTAATAGAGTTTGCCCGAACTTTCTGAAGAATCTCAAGCAAAGGTCGTTAAAGGTATTCATTTTTCTAAGGACACTATAATTTGAAGAGTGCTTGTTATTGGGATTTGTTATAACGCAAATTGATCAGTGGTATACAATTCAAATTCTTGAATCGGCAGACGTACCTAACCCTGCCATTCTAATGGTATTCGTTAGGCTTACTGAATTTGGTAAAGAAGATAGCAGTGGTGATATACTTCGCTGCTTGGAACTAAAAACTTATACCATTAGCCAATGCATCTTCATCGCGTTGAACTTTTTTATTGAAGAGAAATGCTAAATCGGCGTATGTGGAGATCCAGCAAAATAAATGGCCCATGTCACTCAGGATTTGTTGTGCGAATTAAGAGAATGTCTCATTCTGATTTACTCTAACTCGCCGTTCTTACATGAAAGAAAATTCGCTCCCAAAGGCATATGATTAGTTCTCTGAGAAGTAAATTTAGAATCATTTAAATTCTAAATTTTGCTGAAGTAATCTCTATAAATTCACTGTTATTCTCTGTGTTGTGTTCGCCTCACACGTCGCTGCTTTTTCACACTGATGTCTGTTGGTTTTTTTATAAAAAATATTGCCACTGCTAGTAGATAGAAACTTGAGTGTAGTTTATTAGAATTTTTTGACAGTGCTTATTGGGTGATAAAAATTATTTATCTGATCATCTTAGCTCCCTAAATAAACTCAAATTCTCCCTGCAAGAGCTGTTACTTATAAAAAGAAAAACCTTGAGGAAACAGTAATTGCCAAGTATATCAGTGACTATAGACGGGGTTCGAATTGGTAATTGGATTTTTTGACCAATTACAAGTCGTAACTACAAATAATTGTAACACTGTTACTGACATTCACACTACAAAGCACTCAACGCTACTCTCCTCGGTCTATCTGCACCAGTGTTCACGGAAATATAACATAGGAACTATAAAAGTCTCACTAAATTGCACACTCCCAGTATCTATATATTACAGCACATTTAACGTCACGTACTAAGTCTTCTAATTCTTCTCCTGACCACACTGCTCTTCCCTTGGAACTTCGGAACTAAAGGGAAGGCCATCTATTTCTCTCTCTTCCAGATTACGACTGCCTCGTAACTTCCCTGGGCGAATTCTGCCAGTCATTTCTCTTACAAACATTCTGCACAGAACCCACGAAAACCACCGTCTCTATTTTTGATTACGTCACCGCTTTAATAGCACGATCCGACACGCGGAAATGTGTTTACCGAGCCATTGTTTAGAAACTGGTTCTACAGATCCGTTGTTCCATTGCTGTTCGGTGCGGACGACATAGAAAACAGCCTCATCTACTTATGCGTGTCGGACAATATTTACAGTACTGTTGCTTGGCAACTCGTTGATAAAATCTGTTACATAATATTTCATTTCCAAGTTATTTAAAACATCTTCCTTCAGTACTGCCAAATAGCAACAGATAAAAATATTATCACTTGTCCGGGGTTCGGTGACGAATAATAACGGGTTCTGGATTCGCTGATTAGATTTGTTTCCACCTCTTTACAATTGTT